GCGAGACAGGTAACCATTCCCCATATAATTTCCTGAATGGTTCCTCAGGGAGGATATCTATACTCGGGCCGTATGAGATCCACCAATTAGTAAACCAATTTGGTATATATCTATACTCGGGCCGTATGAGATCCACCAATTATAACCAAAACAGAAATATACCAAATTGGTTTACTAATTGGTGGATCTCATACGGCCCGAGTATAGATATCCTCCCTGAGGAACCATTCAGGAAATTATATGGGGAATGGTTACCTGTCTCTCCAAGATACCAAGACCAAGTTATACCCTTGAAATCAGAAGGATTGGAAGCAATATCTTCTATGCATTTTTTTCATGGAATTTTCTATTCCTTGGATCTGGAAATGGTCCCCATATGTGGATTATACTCCCTCTAAATTTCCTTCCCTACAAAGGTCATACTTTACCAAATTTTGGCCTAAAATGCTTCATAAGAATCCAGAAACAAAAATCCTTAATGCTCAGGAAACAATTGATCATATCAATCAACAAATTAAGAAATACCAAGACCAGAAACTTTTTTCGGAAATATCCTCCTCAACAAAAGTGACCCCCTCAACTCCTCAAAAAGATAATTTAACTAAAGAGGAAATGATCAAGTCATTCCGATTATATTGTTCTGAATTAAAAGAAAATCTTAAAAGATTTTCAAAACATGATACAGATGAAGGTTCAAATGAAGATATTCAAGATAATATGTCAGTTGATAACCAAAGCCAAGGCCAATCACCATGTTTAGCAGGGGAATCCCAACCAGATGATGAAGAAGTTCCAGATGGAGAACTCCCAATTGATTGTATAATTGACATGATTGAGGAGTCAATCACGCAAAGAAAGAATCTTTCAAAAAAACAAAAAGATATCACCACAATAGACTAAAGGTGACAGGTGGATGGACCAAAATAAAAGAAGAAGATATTCTTCTTTTATTATTGAAGACAGAGGAAAATACTCGTCAGACATTATTGAAGCCGGAAGAATCAAACAAAAAGTCATTTCTACTTTTCTTAAAGCTGTCTGCCAATGCTAAATGTAATAATTTAGGTTTTGTTTGTTTTTGAGTCCTCCTGATCTATTTTAGGAGCCTCTATCTTATGTTTTAGATAGGCTGAAAGCCATTTTCCTCTCTCTCTCTCTCTCTCTTGTAATCCCTCCTCTGTAAAAAACCTTTCTGCAATAAAAGTCTGAAATATATTTGGAGTATCAAAGTTTTATTACGATACATCAATCTTGGATTCACCTTTCTGGTTAGTTTACTTTCTTTAAACTTAATTTTATTTTCAAGCCTAATGCAAGGCTAACTTGTTAATATCACATAGTATTATCATGGAAGCAGTATCATGATCGGCAAATCATAAAAAAAAAAAAAAAAGTCTGGAATGGAAAAAGGCAAAGTCGTGTTTTAGCCCGTTTTTGTGGCCACAGTGCTTTTATGGAAAAAGTCTGGAATAGATATTATTTAACGACCAATTTAATTTAAAGTTTGATAAATGATGTCGTAAACTATACTTGCTTTTATTAATCGAAAATACGGGTGTTACACATAATCAAACGGTTGATTCACTTTGTGCAGAACCCAATCCAATGAAACTCAACGAGTGATATACGTTGTTTATATCATCCTGAAAAATCATTGCATACCGTCCCCAATTTTCTTATAACTCGTTGCGTAATTCTGAGTGAATTTGATGCCAATAATTTTGACTATACCCGAGGGAGAGAGCTATTGCCCGAAATCCAAAATTTCCATCTCCCTCCACATCTTCAATGTTAGTAACGTATGGATGAAATTCATTTGGAATTTCACTCATAAGTGAATTTGAATAAAATGTTGAAGGTTGTTGAAATGAAAATGTATTGTGCCTCACTGGTTCCTGGTTTAAATCAAACTGATTGGACCCACTATAATCTGACATAGACATCGCAAAACTATGTCTACGAGGATATTGAGTTGTTGGATCTTGAGTAGGCGGAACAATAGGTCTTGTTTGTGTACTCAACCGCGAACGTCCACTTGGTACTTTATTTTGATTTGATCGTAGTGGTATTCATTTACACCGCACTGAAATAAAGATATGATATTTATTGTAAATGTAGGGTAACTTAAAGGACCATAAATGTAAATATAGTTATTAGTTTTGCCTAATACGAAATGGAAGGGCGGGGTCAATTGCACAGTGATGAAGATAAATGGAAAGGGTGAGGAGTGTTATTATCTTTTAATTTTATAAATAATTTGTAAATAAAAAATTAATTAAAATAGTTAATAAGGGCATAACAGTCTTTTTAGGCCGGACTAACGGCGCAACAAAAAGATGTAATAAGGACTGTCCGAGTTAAGAAAAAAAGTTAGTGACCAAACTCGTAAATTACACCAAACCATATGGACCATTCGTGTGTATATGTGTGTGAATATCAATATATTAATAATATATTAATAAGGATTGAAAATAATTTTTTTTAAAATAGAGAAAGGTATAAACTGAAAATATGTTTTAACTATAAGGGGCAAAAGTGTTAAAATTATTTAATATTTGATAATATATTATAAATAAAAGATATTAACAATGTCGTGTGGGATTAATTTTTGAGGAAAGTGGGACTTCATTTCTTTGGCTCAATACATCATATCAATTTGGGTTTTATATAGGGTGGTTTTGACTTTAGTTAATAAGTGGTTTTGACCCAATTTTTGGGTGTGTTTAACAACACTCTAATCATTACCATATCATAAAACACGTTTTGGATTAGTTAAAACAACTTATGGTAATGATCCTAATCTAATTCTGGCCAAAATCCCGAAAATCCTGCCAACAGACGAGCCAACTCATCGAGTCAGTGCATGGACTCGTCGAGGCCTGCTATGGACTCGTCGAGTTTATCTGGCAGAGTCCAGATTTCGACTTCTTTCAGCTTTGAACAATTAACCAAAGCATCAAATACAACAGAAAAACGACCTAGGCTCTGATACCACTGATGGGTTTTGAGCACTACAACATTCCCAAGGTGTACATGCAACCCTAATGCTTTAGATCTAGGTTTTTCTCAAGTTATAAATGCAAACAATCATCCAAAGCATAAACCCTAAGACTAGCATATAATTTTCAGAAAAATCACATATGATTAGGGTTAGAACATTACCTCTCTTGTTATGTAGCAATAACAAGTATAATCCTTCTTGATCTTGACTTCTGAAAGCCTAGTGCCAAAAGTGTTGCACCTCTAATGGAGTCACCAACACCCAATGCAACAAGATGACTTGGAGAGGGAAGGAAAATACGCTAGGGTTCTCTAAAACTCATAGGGGGCGAAAATCCATAGTAGAGGGTTCCTTATATAGCTGTGGCTGCTAGGTTTTCAGGTGGAAACCCTAATACCTTGCTTAGGCAACAAGCAGCCCATGGGCTCCTTCCTTAGAGCCCTTGGACGAAATCTATAGGGCTTCCCTATTGGATTTCATCCACTCCACTTTATGGAGTCCATCAGCCCAGTTCTTGCAACTATCAATGATTTGCAGAACAGTCCCTCAATTATTAATCAGTTCCTTTAATCCCAAAATTAATATTAGTTTCTGATTAATCACTAATTAATAATATGATTTCCAAATAATATATTAATCTTGTAATAAATAAAACCATTTTGAGTACCAATTTATTATTCATATAATAAATTCTACTCTCTCTCCACTTGTCATCCTATCAAGTTGCATGAGTGAAGGCAACCCAAAAGGACCATGCTCATAATGAAGTCAAGTACATACCAATTATAGTTATGGGCTTAGACACCTAATACAACAAAAAGTTGCATGACTGACATGAATGCCTTCCTATCCAATCTTATCGAGACGCATGACTCTCTTCTCACGGTCTCTGTCAGGCAACATTTGGCTGAAAGCTCAAACCGGTGTTTTCTATGCTTAACAGACTAGAAGTTGTTTCAGAGTCAAGATCCATTCTGAAATAAGGGGAAGAAGTTGTAAAGCAACCTGAAAAAGAACCCCTGAAACAAGTCGGACCTTCTGATGATCATGAAGAAAAGCCAAAATCAACGAACGGACCGAAGGATATTGAAGCTTCGGGTTCGAAAGGCATAGGAAAACTTATTGATGACGATGATGAAGAAAAAGAAGACTAAAGCGCTAAACTTAAGCGAAAAGCGTGTGATGCGGTTCTTGATGAAAACTTGTGAAATGCAAGAGAGGCAGAAGAAAAAGAGAAAGCTGAGCGTGAAGCTCAAGTCACTCTGGAAAGCCGAAAGCTCTTATTTCCTTCGTGGACTTTGGAGCGAATCTTGAATGAGGCAATTGACAATCCAAGCCAATGTTGGTTAGAGCTAGTTGTATCCTTCGATTTGCAAAATTCACAAGATTCGCAACTGGATCTTCTAATAACAACCAAGGCCTTCAAGTGTCGTAGCTTTATCAACTCTTTATTTATTCTAACAAGTAATTAGTTGACTTTTAAGTGGTCAGGTCATCACAGTCAAAATTATATTATCTAAGACATTAAAACATAATTATTATGATTTCAATTGGTAATATAGTCATTCATTATGGGATATTTTCAAATAATTTGTAGAATTAACGAACTAATGTTTTGCTTACATTTTGAATTATGTCACTTAAATTGATAAGATTCTGGGACCATGTCGTAAACAAAATGAGAGGAAGGGACTGAATTGTTTTGAGAGTTGAATGGAATCAAATCAACTTTTTAAAAATGATTGGGTAAATTACACGGATGGTCCCTGTGGTTTAGGGTAATCTGCGTATTTGGTCCCTAACAACTTTTTTTAACCCGGACGGTCCCTAAGATAGAATTTTGTTGTGCGTTTGATCCCTATCAAACATAAAAAGACTATTTTACCCTTAATAATTTCTTTTTTGATTTTCTATTATTTGTTCATCATTTTTAATTTAGAAATGAAAAGAAATAAAAGACCCCCAATCCCCGTTTCATCTTCACCCACCCTTTTTTCTCATGTTCCCCTTTCCCCAAACCTTTACATCATTTTCCGATGACCACTGCAACATTCTGACGAGAGAACCCATCCTACCGACAATCATATCTCAACATATTTTGCCCAAGACAAGAGGAGAATTAAAGGAGGTAAGAAATTTCTTATTTTCGTTCCTCTCCTTTCTCACCTGTGAGTTTATTTTGATCTCTGTTCAGGTGGTCAGATCTGTGAATCGATTACCAGATGATAAGGAAGAAAGAGTTAGGTGGTTTTCAACGAGAGGGTGAAGGAGACTGTGATGGAATTATCATGGGAGGATGCAAGGATTAAGCAACAATGTGGAGCCCTATGCTATTATCTCCGACGATGGAGAACTACAATGTCCAATATCACCCCTTCTTCTTGATCGATCTACCTTTTCTTTTCATCCTTCTTAATTCGATTCAAATGCAACCCCATCCTCAAAATCGATCGATAACCATCAACATCTTAACTGTCCCCTGATCAATCGAGCTCTCATACGATCCTTATCTTCTTCCCGCTTGCGTCTTGTAGCCATCACAGTCACCAATATGTCTGCATTTCTGAAGATGACATTGTGTGAAGGTTTCTAGAGGTGGTGTGGATGGTCGTATTGCAAATCGGCGACTTTAGACTGCAGATCAACGGCGTACGGTGTTTTCTGTTAGAATCTAGTGTTTTCCGGTGGAGTCCGACATTTTCCCAAGAGAAGGTGAGATTTTTCGACGACTGAACACAATGAGGCAGGGGACGAGAGGAGGTCAGACTACCACCGCTTTCTCATGTCCGGCGATTGCAAAGTCTTTGAACCTGCATTTCCCTGAAGCGATTGTAGAGTGACAGTGGAGATAATCTTGAAGAACTTTGTAGTGGAGTGTGAAGTGATGTGGTGTGAAGTTGCGACTGAGATAGGGGCAAAGGGATGAAGATGAAGTTTTGTGAAATCCAAACCAAATCCAATTTGACCAAAATCACAATTAATTAATTTCTTTAAATTAATTGATAATTTAAAAAAGGTAAAATATATCAGTAAGGGTAAATCGGTCTTTTTAAAATGGACAGGGACCAAGCGTGTAACAAAAATATAAAATAGGGACAGTACGAGTTAAATAAAGTTATTAGGGACCAAACATGCAGATTACCCTAAACCACAGGGACCATCCGTGTAATTTACCCAAATGATTTGATTTTTAAGAAGGTACTACTTTCATTATTATCACACAAATATAGCATGCTACTGTCATGTTTATGACAAAAATAACATGCAACTTATATTTTTATGAAAAATAGTACGCTACTTTTGTTTTTATGACAAAAAAGCATGCCACCTTCATTGTTATGAAAAATATAGCATGCAATTTTTATTTATTCTACAAAAATAACTCCTACGCAAATAGATGAAAATACAATGATATTTATTGGGAATGAAATGTCATTGTGTTGATATGATGTAATTTTTGTTGACTAGGATCATATGATGGTTCACATTCTTTCACTCATTTGCGCCATCTTTACTAAAAGTTCTCGATTTTGTATTAGAGTACATTACTTAGATGAAATGGCTTATCAATTCGTATTTTGTATTTTTTTTAAATGTTATCTACCTTCTTAAACTTTTTTAATTTGTTCAATTGTGAAGGTTAAAGTGACAAATAATGGCAGGGAGAAACAACATAATAAAGAGTTTCTCCAAAGGTTGTAGATGTTTTATGGTTAGTAGTTGTTGTGTCTAATTAAATTAAAGGAGTCTCAATGATGGGACAATAATAAAAGTAAATCGTAAAAATAGGATTTTTAATATAAATGACATGTAATATTTTGTTGATTATAGCATCATATTTTCACTTCTTCGGATTACTATTACAACATTGTATTTTTGAAGTTCTATTTATTTGGGTTGCTTTTTCAATGTACATTGTTAATATGTGCAATCTTATTAGTTTTATTCTAACCCCCGCATCGCGAGGGGAATCTTTTCTAGTTTTTAATTAAAAAATTAGGTTTTATTTAAATAACATGTTTAATTAAATTAACTTTGTTTTTATAAAAATTAAAAGTTAAATTCAAAAAAAAATGATAACATTAAAGATTGAGAGTGTTATAAGATATTGTTCATTTTCTCATATGATGTTATAACATCATGGGGTGAGATGACATATTATATGTTAACTTTTGAGTGTGAGAACACCCATGAATTAATTGTCCATACACCAATGGGCTTGTAAACGAGCCGTATGTGCTCTAACTTTTTAAGGTCTAGAGTTCAAGTTTGGTTTTGGACATAGGTAAAATTATGGAGTGGTTTAGATTTGTCGTTAAAAATAAAAATAATAATCTTAACCTAATAAATGAAAATCAATTTTGTCAAATGTCATGTTCTTATTGAATTTGACACATGTCATTTTTTAAGAGTTTTTGAATTATTTTTTATCCATTTGTTATTTTCTTGTAATTTTCATTTTTTTAAATTTAAAATTCATATTTTAGTGAGATTTATATATGTAAAGTAGATCATTCTATTAATTTTATAATAAATGCTCTATAATTTTTCAAATATCATACATTATATATTAAGTTACTTATTTTATTTATTATATTCTTTTTATTTATATAAAATTATTACTTTAAAAAATATATAATGCTTATAATTTTATATTAAACTTTTGTTTTATAAACCCGTGTAATACACGGGGACTGTTCTAGGCGGGGTGGACCGCCCACCTTCGAATGGTGTTGGTTCTCCGGACTTTCAACGTCTCACGTCTAGTAAAATAAAAAAAAAAATAAAAAAAAGTCTTATTAGGTTGTATTCAAATACAATAAAAGTACTATTAAATTTGCCATTAAAAAACCCGATACGTACGCTTCCATATTTATCTTAACATTCCATTTATCAAACGAATAACACGATATATATTCGTAATGAGAAACGTCCTCCCGAAACCCTAACCTAGTTCTTGGTGGAAAACCTAGACGACATACGTACAGCGCGGAGCCCCAAAATCCCCGTAATAACATCATGACGACCGATCTGCCACCGGACATACTTCTTTTCAACATACTGCCAAGGCTGCCGGTGAAGTCTATACGACGTTTTTTGTGTGTTTCCAGGCAGTGGCAGTCGTTCCTAACAACGCCTGTGTTTGCAAAGCTGCAACTCCACCATGTAACCAACGACGACCATCAAAATCACCTCAAACTTCTGCTCTTATCTTACACAACACCATGCAACTTCTGCACCATCGACTGTGAAACACCTAAAGATGGTTTAACTGTCAGCCGCCCTTTACCATTCGAAGACGGAAGTCGTATGTATATATCGATTTTAGCATCTTTGCATGGATTGATATGCATAAAAAGGCGTCGGTTCATCAATGAGGTTGAAGATACTGATTTAATTTTATGGAATCCCTTGACCAGTGACTATAAGACGTTGTCTACACCCAGTTCTGATAAGCAATGTTTCAACATCAAATATAGAGGTCGATTTGGGTTGTATTATACTTCTTCTGACGATGACTACAAGCTTTTATGTGTGACCAAGTACCCGAAGGTGTATATATACTCTTTGAAATCCGACTCATGGAGAAAGGTCGAGTCACCAAAGAGGACTTCCAAGCGCATTTATTTCCTGATGCCAAGCGTTTTGTTGAATGAAAAACTCTATTTCTTAAAAGAGAAGCAGATTTGTGGAGAACACCCCTCATATTTAATTATGAGTTTCTGCACAAAGACGGAAAAGTTGAGCGAGATAGCAACTCCCCTTTTCAGACAGCAAAGGACAGAGCGTTGGGGTATCGGAAAGGAAAGGACAGTGTGTAAGGATTTCATGGTTCTAAGAGGGTCCATTCACTTCTGTGTGGCCTTTACAGATTCTTTAGGTGAGTATTCGACGATTGAGTTGTGGAGGATGAATGCAGATGGAGATTGGACAAAGATGATAGCTTATTCCCCATTAGAGCGTGTTTTTCGTTATGAGAAGCCACTGCATATTATGAGGAATGGAGATTGGCTCATGTATCGTGAAGGTCATGTTTACCAACGGGATATGAAGAAGCATACCAATGACATCATGTGTAGATTTAAAGACATGGAAATCAATCAACGCTGGAAATACATGGAGACTCTTGTGTCACCCAATCAATATATGACCAAGTAATTAATTATCCCGTTTAACCCAATCACTTTTGCTTCTAGTTTATTTATTTTTATCCTATGTAACTATTATATGAACTCAAATTAGACTTTTCCATTTGCTTTTTATATATTCCAGCATAACAGAAGAAAGGATCTGTCGATCTGGTTTATTAATTAAGAATCTGCATGCAACATGTTTGTTGAAGAAAAACATATTGTGTATAACAACGAGATCATTACAATTACAAGCATAAATTAATCTAGGTTTCCTACGATGTCAACAAAGGGGGCTGATATTGCTACCGACAAGTTTTGATCATTCCACTAAAAAAAGTGTAAGATTGATAATTTTGCCCTTTTTATTTATTTAAGAGATAGATAAATGCAAATCTTTTTTACATCTGGTAAGTCATGTTCGACTTATTTGGGGACTGTGAATTCACCTCCGGCCTCCGGGGAGCACCACCTTAACCTGCAGCAAGAAAGAGAAAAGCAACATGTTACCAGTAGGACTTGGCATTAAAATCCCGATATTCTTTCTCATTAAGGTTGTTGTGGGTGTGTTCTTCATTTTGTGTAAGAAAAACAAACCAGTGATCAAGGCCATTAATATTATGTTAGTTGCTTCAGGTTAGATCTCTTTAATTTCTAAATTGCAATCTAACATGCAAAGACAAGCATGGGGAATTTTGTGATGATTTATGCCATTGATTTTGATTGTTAACCATTGATAATTCGTTTGAGGGTATGCATATGCAACCGGCTGAACAATTGGGAATCCCAGTGGTGGAGCAAATGAGAATTCCGGTGAGTTGCATAAAAACGGCGAAGAAGTGATGAATGGTACAGTGGAAAATGGGGTGCCAACAACTATGGGATCACCTTCACCGTTACTTGATGATTCTGGTCCAACTAGCGATATGTATGGACAAATAGAAGTACATAAGCAGTTAACCACGATGAATATGAGGTCAAAGGGTGAACTCACCATGAGCAATGATGCAACATGCCTTCATAACCAATGTTTTAAAAGCCGGGTTTTTAGTTGACCCGGTGTGATGACCGGTTCACGGGTCAACCGGTTCAACCGCCGGGTCATCCCGATTTATGGTCTTTTTCTATTTTTATATACTTTTAGTTTCCTGCATAATGCATAAACATATAAAACCAATAATTTGATGTCCACAAAGTTTAAATATTGAAAAACATTAAAGAAACCGCAAACGGCTCGTTGTTTTGACATTTGCTACTTGTATCCAACTATCCAAACCCTATTAAAACGGGTCAATCCAGTTTTAACCGGTTTAACATAAGCGGTCGAACGGCGGTTTAGGGGAAACCCGGCCGGTTCGATCCGGTCCGTATTTTTACAAAAAACCGTTCTCAATTGACCCGCCTTCTACCCCGGGTCACGGTCCAACCGGTTGAACCGGCCGGGTCGACCCGGGTTTTAAAACATTATTCATAGGGGTGGCAACTCTCGACCCAACCCGTAACCCGACACGAAAATAAGCGGGTTAGGGTTGAGATTTCTGACCCGCCAACCCGTCAACCCGCCAACCCGTTTATTTAATGGGTTGGGTTGGGTTACGTGTTTGGGTTCGCGGGTCAACCCGCCTAATTTATTTAATTATCTATTTATTTTAATTTTTAACAATCTAATATTATACTATTATTTTCTATTTATCATATCCTTAAAAATTAGTTTGGTATTCGTTGGTATCATCATCCATATTAATATTAGAGTTGTATGTTTGGGCAATGTGGCATTGTGGGCTTGTGTTGTGGCTCATGATCCACAGATCCAGTCATCCATCCTTCGCTCCTTGAGTCCATGTGCAGCCAGCCATTGCGTGCCCTAATCAAAAAAAAAAACCGCCTCTCTTTCCGGTATCCACATTCACGAACGATTGAACGATTAAACGATTGAACGAAGGATATGGACTGATCTTCGAAGGCAGAAACATCATGAACTCACGATTCAATCACTCATCGGGCCGCTCCTCATCCGCTCAACGCCGTTCGCACATCGCACTCGCTCCTGATCAGCTTCGACGTTCGACACTTCGACCCAACTTCCTTTCTCTCTACGGTAAGTAACAATCTATAGACTATAGTATATACACTCTATTGATTAGTAAATTACTGAATTACCACCAGATTTTGACGTTCGCTTATGATCCAGTCATCCATCGACGTTCGACACTTCTGATTTTGATTGTAAATCCCATCATCATCATCATCCAAGTTCGTTCTTTGGACGACTTTATTTTCTGTATTTATCGATTAAATTCTATCACTGGAACTTGAAATTCAGGATCTGATTAAAAATGTGTTTAAGGTACTTTATTTTCTGTATTTAGCTCAAACACACTATGGCGTAAGTTACGGTTTCATTGTTTAGGAATTCAACTGCTATCTTTGATTTTTTGCTTCTTAGTTACGGAAATCGACCAGGAAGATATAATGCTTCCACATTGTGTATCTTTTACCCACTATGTTAAATGAAAATATGATTTTGAGTAGTGCTTCTTTTTCTGTTAAACAGTAGCGTTATTGTTGACTTGTTAAACTGATTTTGAACCTGAACCTGTTTTACACTGATTTTGACTTGTTTTACCCACTATTTAATAATCAGTAGTGCTTCTTTTTTTGTTAAACAATAGCGTTAAACTGTTAATCATTATATTGTTTGTGTAGGTCGATATGGAAGATGTTATTTTGACAATCATGTTGAGGTTGACAATGAAGAAAGTGAAAGTGATGACTCAATTGAAGAAGCTGAAGCACCAAATGAATTACAAGGAGTTGAGAGTACTTCTTCAAAGAAAAGGAAAACAAGGACATCAACTTCAGATGTTTGGAAAAGCTTTACTAAATTACCAAGAAAAACACCAAATGAAACCCTATATTGTGTGTGCAACAAATGTGGTCAAAAATATAAAGCAGGAAGTGAAAGCGGTACCGGTAATCTACGTTGCCATCGAAGGAGATGTGAAGATAATAATACTAGAGACATTGGTCAATTTATGACTTTATGTTTAATGTTTATTTTGGATGTTTATGACTTTATGTTTAATGTTTATGACTTTTAGACTTCATTTTATTTGGATTTTTCAATTTCATCTTAAAATATGTTGCTTATTAAGTGGGTTATACGGGTTGGGTTCGATCCACTGACACGTGAACCCGCCAACCCATATACTTATACGGGTTATGTGGGTTGGGTTGGGTTGATGTTTCCAACCCGTCAACCCGTGACCCGCCAACCCGCCAACCCATATATTATATGGGTTGGGTTGAGTTTCTGAATTCCAACCCGCCAACCCGCCAACCCGAACCCAACCCAATTGTCAGGCCTAATTATTCATAACTTCATCAACGAGAATTAATAAAAAAAAATAGCTAAGCATAGACTGTCTTCAATTTTACCAAGGTAAATCCTTTACCGACCTTTTGCTTTAGGGTTGGAGCGACTTCATATTCTCTTTCGTAGAATTAGATGATTCAGAAATCAAAACCCCTATTAAAACAAATTAATCGGTAAATCGGTAAAGTTATAATAATGTGGTTGCTATCTTTTTAAGTAAATAGGGGCATGATTGTCATTTTATATGTTTTTCAGTGGAAACATAAAATACTACCGTGTCAATATCACTTCCCTGTATAATCACTACTAATTTATTTATTAATTATTAAAAAGTGACAATTACTACTACACCTAGGGTGTTCAAAACCGGATATCCGAATTTTCGGATATCCGGAAATTTCGGATAGTGGATATTGGTATCCGGAATTTCGGATATCCCGAAATTCGGATTCAGATTCGGATACCAAATCGGATATCCGAAAATCAATGAATTCATTGTTACTTTAATGTTTATAAATTCCTAGTTAATAATCTATTAAACATAGATATGAACATGAACAATGTAAATTATTGAACTTGAATGTAAATTGCATAATGTTTTTTTCGGTAAATGTTTGATAAAAAAATAAATACACTACGAATAAACTCCATATACCATCTAGGTGATTTCGAGAACATGTAAAAGCACCTAATGCTTTTATCAAGTGAAAGAATTTTGTGGAAACGACTGATATCACAATTCGTGATTGGAAATAAGACCACAGGGGAAGCATCTAAGAATAAGGTTTCAATGATTTAAATATACAATAATAATATTAAGAGAAATTAAGTTTAATAAAAATAAACTACAAATGCTCAAAGTTAACTAATTAATTTATACAGCATTACAGCTAAACATAAAAGTGTCATGAGTATACGATTTGTCGATTTGTGAATATGCGATTTGAGAATTCTAAGTCGAATTCATGAGGTCAACACGTGAAAATTAAAGATAGTATTGAATTTTTGGTAAATAAAAAAATAATTAAAAAGTTATATATAATATTTCGGATATCGGATATCCGAATATCCAAAATTTTCTAAATCTACTATCCGTATCCGAATCCAAAAAATCGGATATCCGGATTTCGGATATCCGAAATGTCGGATAACCGATTTTTCGGATCAGATTTTCGGATAGGGAGCTGATCTGTACACCACAATTTTTCTCCATACACAACAATTGATGCTTTAAAATATTGTATTGTACAACTATATAATGCATGAATTGTTGTGTATGACAAAAAACTGTTGTGTACGAATTACTTCCCTTTCGGATATTTCGGATCGGATTTTCAGATTCGGATATTTTTGAACACCCCTAAATACACCCTTATATAACGATTGGTTTACAGCTGGTTTACGACTGTCTCGCATTCTCAACATTTTTCAATTGATCTTTTTCATTGTAATCCTTCGCCTTCCGTATTCGTATAATCGTGTGGCTAGTTTTTTGCGGTGCCCTAATAAAAAAAGGAAAACACACATACTTATGAGTCACAAATGAATATAACATCCACTAGACCACAACTAGCCGACGGCCGCTCCTCACATCCTCACCCCATCACTCGCTCATCGTCAATTTGTTGGTAACCTACTATCCCACATGACGT